TCATAGGAAATTCTTTTGGACAGTGCTAAGCCAGGCCGACTAGGTGGTCAAACGTGACAAAATGATGTGTCTATTCTTTACCCACTGACTGACAACATAGGTTGACTTTCCTGGACAGACACCCTTAAATCAGTACGTTTTCAGACTGTGGGTTTCACAGATCAGTAAAATCCTTTTCCTACCTTAGGGTTGCCAGGTTTGTTTTGTCCAGTAAGACTGCCACCAGATCACCAAGCTGCACGCCCCATCAGGGCAGGTAGGCACTGTGCCCATCTGACAGCTTGCATTAAATCCCCAACGCCTAATGCAATGCCTGGTTCATAGCGCATGCTCAGTAACTATCTGAGTAAGTGATGATGCACATGCACACACATACATATATCCTTACCTTTTTCATTTGATCTTCAGTGAAAACTGCCACTGGCTGGCACCCGTCTGCTGAAAGGTGTGTGGGTTTTATGCACACACACACACAGAGGCTAGAGTGTCACAAAATAAATAAGTCATCTAACATTTTTTGAGGACTTTATATTAATAAACGCTTGTAACAAAATATACCAGACCAGACTGCAGTGGAGTATAGGTTTCTCTAAACTGACTGTACATGTCAGAACCAAAAATGCAGGGAGGAGAAACTGTTTGCTTTTCAATGGCACCAGAGTGCCCTCTCGTGGTAAAATATGGTATCTGCATAGTCACAATTTCTATTCAAAAAACAAGTGTCTAACAATGCACAAAACCTGTACTGGACTATAAAGCACTCTTGAGAAACAGTCTAAATATGCATCTAAATAGTTTATGTAAAATATGGCAAGTTGTGCTGGTGAAAAAAATAATTAAGATCTGTCACAGGACTTTGTGGTGAGGTCATCCACGTATCTAGGAACTAACAAAATACATGAAAACTGTTCTTGGGATTTGATATTCTAAATAGTTCCTGTTCATCTTCTAGTTAAAAACAAATGACTTTCAAGTTCAAGGTGGCATCATACAGTTTATTCCTTCCTTTGTCCAACAGCAACAATAACCTTTGCTGCCTCCAACTCCTTTTTTCACTTTCATCTTAATAGCCCTTTTCTGGAGGGGAGGAAGGCTTCCTCACATAAACCATTCTTTCAAAGTCTGCTTGGTTGTTCCTTTTTACACTTTAAAAACAGTGATAAATCATGTCCAGAATGAGTTCTCAATTAAAAGATGAAAATGTGACCTTGATCATCTTAAGAGTTCTTGCAAATTTCAACTTGATATTCTATGGCCTTCCAAGGGCAAAAGACATCTTTATTGATCAATTTCTGCTGAGACAGAACTCTCCAGTTCTACTGATTTAACGATGTGGAATATTTCTTCAAATGACAGTAGAAAAAGCTGATTTACCCATGAAGATTCTAGTAAGTGTGGTCTCTGTGAATAGAGAAGAATCACTATTTGAATGAGACCTCAAGATGCTTATAAATTCTAAATCAACACCCGAATCTGAGGGTTCAGAGGAAGAATCTTTAAGACAGTATCCGATAATAACTGACTAACCCCTAGCCTCTGATTCTCCTGGGTATTTGTTTAAAATGTAGGTTATTCCTCGGATCTACTTAAGACTTTAAACCACATCTCTATGGAGTTTGGTAATGAGCATTTTTATTAAATTCCCCAAGTACAAGCCCCAGTGTACACAGTAAGTAATTTCAGTTTTGAGCAACTGCCAGAGAAGGAATGTCCCCCTTGTGTTTGTTGACTGCCTTCTGATTTGTTTGAAAGCCTTTTTCTTCTTGCATCATCTTGACCATTCTTGGTATGAAGGATGTTGTCTTGTTTCTCCTCAGTTTCATCTTCTCCAGAAGAAGAAACCATGCCAGGCGGCAGTCTCCTACTGTTCCCGGCTTCCACGGCTTTACTCTGTTCCCTTTTTCTCTAACAAGTCATCAGCTCAGATCTAAAAATACTCTAAGGGTAAATCCACTGGTGAATAAAATGGTTCCAATGTCCCATATTCCTTTTTTTAGAGAGCAAGAATTGCCTGCATATATGAATCTAAAGAATCAACTGTTACCTACGCTAGAAAAATAAAGACCATGAACAAGTCTGCAATATTGAAATGGGTGAACATCAATTTAGAGACAAGTACTAAACTAGGAAAGTTTTGCTAGGTTTCCTCCAGAACATAATACCATTTTTAGACCTTCTAGGACAAACCATCTTTTATTGACATTAACAGAAGACGATAATCACATTTTTTATAAAGGCAGGCAAAGTTTTCATTATAAGCTGTTCTATAGTATTTGTATATGTGGTTTTTAACCTTGTGCATATGCTACTTTGATTTCTTCAACATCTGAGAATGAAGGAGAAAAACTTCGTATCTAGAGCAATGTCCTGTATTTTATTTCCAACATTTGGGACTAATTTTGAAGTAAGAGCAAATAAAGGTTCACATTTGCTGAGTATTTGTTATGTACAAAGTGTAACTTTAAAGGTACTACTGGATATGCACTCATTCAAAAAGCTGGAATATGTTCCACAAAGATTGGTTCCACAAAGATCTTTTGTCCTATGAAGATTTCAAAGTGTGGAATATGTTCCACAAAGATTTTCTGCTGAAGAGCAACTTCAGCAGGGTAGTAGAGAGGTAGAAAAATCTCCTAGGTTGAATAACTGAGGCTACTAAAATTGGCATGCAAACAACTAGACACATTATCTAACCCATCACAGATGAAATGTTCTGGACTCCTGGGTTCCTGCCAAAAATAATAGCGACACAGGCCAGGCACGGTGGCTCACACCTGTAACTCCAGCACTTTGGGAGGCTGAGGCAGGAGGAACCCTTGAGCTCAGGAGTTCAAGACCAGCCCGGGCAACATAGTGAGACCTCATCTGTGCTAAAATTTAAAAAATTGGCCAGGCATGGTAGTGCAAACATGTAGGCCCAGCTACTTGGCAGGCTGATGTGGGAGGATTGCTTGAGCCCAGGCAGTCAAGGTTGAGGCTGCAGTAAGCCCTGATCATGCCACTGCACTCCAGCCTGGGTGACAGAGCAAGACCTTGTCTCAAAAAAACCAAAACAAATAGCAATACAAGTTAACATCTGATTCTCCATACCTAATATCTTTCCTATACCATTGTCCATCTCGGACTCAGGTCAAGGAATGTGTCTGGCTCATTCATACAACAGTTGAGTGTGGGGCGGGAAGTGTGACACCCCGCAGTCAGAAATCTTAGGTTCAAATTCTGACTGGCTCAAAATTTGTAACTCAACAAAGAATTCACTTCTTTGACCTGAAGTCTCCATACATGAAAATGGGGACCACCAGTGCTCCCTCCATGAACAACACAGGGAGGGGCCGGGAGGATGGTGTGGATGTGAATGATTCCTGACAGACGCTCAGTAAATGTTTAATGAATCTGTTATCTAAGCACTATCCTCGAGGAGAACCAGGAGACTCCTCGGGGAGGCAAGTGGCCTGGGACAGTCCCTTCCCAGGAATGGTGACGGCCACCAACAATATCAATAATCCAGCATAGACTGGAGCTCAGTGACACAAACTGCTCCGACGTTATGTTAGACACAATGACTTCCTTCTAACCCTTGGACTCTACAATGATGTGGACCTGGATTTTCCCAAATTAAACACAGTGAAAAGGAACTACATGTGTTCCCCAAGGGCTAAGTACCTGCATCAGCCTCTCACCGTGCACCACTTGCAGCACTCTCTGTGCACATGGGGTCACACCAACTCACCCCAACGTCCCTAACGAGGTGGCCACTCTAACCATGCCCATGTTCCAGAGGAGGGACTGGAACTCGGAGACCATTCTGCCCAGGACAACACAGCTCGTGGGCAGCAGAGCTGGGACCTGGCCTCAGAGCATGCGCTCAGCCACTCTGCTGTAAGTCCCCTGGCGGAAACCACAGTGAAAGTCCCGTAGTTTCGACATATGCTGGGATTTTAAACCTTACGCAGTCTGTACCTATTCTCATGAGAACAACAGTAAAGTCTAAATAAAACCTTAAAAGTCACTGTGTGGCTGAGCTTCAGGTTAGTGACATGTTTTGCAAAAGAAGACCAAAAAACAGAATTTTCTGATATCAAAATTTTTCACAGCTTTCTCTTGTCCAAGGAAAAACTGAAGATAAATCCACATTCCAAACAAGTCTTTAGTTTAGAATTCTGACAGATGAATTGGCAGTGAGTGTCAAAAACTTAAATGTACATAACCTACGACCCTGCAAATTCTACTTCTGGGACCTTACAGAAAAACTAATACAAGTATACAAAGAAATCTGTGCAAGGATGCTGACTGCAGCAGTGTTTGTTAACAGCAAAAACTAAAAACAAGCAGACTAACCATTCACTCGGCTAAACACATGATGGCAGACACTCGATGGAACACCATGTAGCTGGTTAAAAGAATGAGGTAGCTCTAGCTTCACTGACATAAAGGATTATCTTAGATATACTATTAAGCAAAAAAGCAAGTGACAGAATGTGCATAGTATAATCCTATTTTATTAAAAATAAACTCTGTGTGTGTATATGTGTGTGTGTGAGAGAGAGAGATGTAAAGACATAGAAAAGGGCCTAGAAAAATACACAAACTTCCCTTGGGAGGTGGAAATTGATGGAGGGGGTCTCTCATGTTCTACATTGTGGACGTCTGTATTTGCTTAAAGTTATTTATGAAATAACATAAAATTTTGAAACAAAATATTCTGGAGGCTAATTTTCTAAAGGGAATGGCACAGCTTAGACATGCCCCTAAACTGAAATGTCAACTTCTTTCTCCCATTTGCAAACCTGTGAGTACATAGTAAGAGAAGCATTGCCACAAAATCCTCTTTTAAAAGCTCTTTCAGGACACTACACTAAGTCATTCACTTCTGAGATTTTAAAGGCCACCAATGTCTCTATTTTCAGACTACGTCACAAATGACATAAATGCCAAAATTATAGATCTTAAGAAGAAAATACGTAAAATACAGATTTAGACAAAACAAATGACTAAAGCTGCATAGTTCTGCTAGACTTTATTCAAAACTGGCCCTATACTTAATTATTTGAGAGACCTAAAATTCTAGTGTTCAAATGTAAATACCCATCATATACTGAGAAGTAATCTTCAAATTTAGTTCTGACCCAAATTTGGCTCAGTTAAATCATACGTCAGATAACACAAATGGTTACACCTCAGCACATAACAAAATCCCGGAAGTATCATAGCAAGTGAGCTATGACATCATTTAACTCTCAAACTGAACTGTAATCTTAAGTTACACACACCACAATACACCTTTGCACAGGTAATTTTATTCCTCCTGTGGGTGTTGACAGTGCTCATTGATTGAAATTTGAAACACTTAGAAATCCCATACCTGAAGATGGTCACATATTCTTTACATCACGATTCAGTAACTATTCAACAGTTATGTCTACTAAATACAGTGAACAAAACAGTATAAATGTTTACACCATTCCCTTGTGAACAGGGCTTTTGTGCACAATAGTAACAAATGGAATTAATGCATACCATGATATCAATAAGGAAAAGACCTTCTCTTTAAATAAACTATTCTGTTTATAAATAAACTCTGATTTTTTTAGTACACATTTACAGACCTGATCAATAAAAAGAAACTATATATATATATATTTTCCTTTAAAAAGAAAATGTTGAGATACAGACCACTGTGGGAGAATTCACCTAGGAAAGGGGGTCAGAAGCAAGCAAAGGATACTAGAGGTGAAAGTACGACCATACTGCAACTTATTTCCGTTAGCACACACCAACACAAGGACAGGATTGTCGGGGGAGGAGCCCATTTTCACTTGAATTCCAGCAAGTTGCAATCAATCTTGTAGTACACATAGGGGTAGTATTCTTGTTGACTCAGGTTTAAACCTGGAATATCCATAGGAGCCTATGGAAAAAATAGACAATTACTCAATTTTGTATTTACAGAACTCAGAAAAAAAGAAAGCAAGTATTAACATTTACCTTTTTATTGAACATCTACTCTGGGCTAAATGTATGCACTTAAGGTTAATTTATCTGAGTTAGACATTATTCCCATTTTGCAAATAAGAAAACAACCTCTGAAAGACTGACTTCTCCTAGGAAACACAGACTGTAAGTGGTAAAGCCAGGTTCAAGCATTCTGACTGCAAAGCCTGCATATGTATTTAGCATGATCCCACCAACCTTTTTTATGTACACTGTAAAAATTAACTTTTTAAATCTTGGACTTAGAATACTGAGTTGATGCGATACAAGACTTACAAAATGTGGAGTAAAAATAAAGCAAGTATGATTTAAAAGTAATGCTTATTCTGTAATCTCAGCACTTTGAGAGGCCAACGCCTTGAGCCCAGGAGTTCAAGACCAGTCTGGGCAACACAGTGAGACTCTATAGCTACAAAAAATAAAAATAAGCACATTAACCAGGAGTAGTGGTGCGTGCCCATAGTCCCAGCTACATGGGAGGCTGAGGTGGGAGGATCACTTGAGCATAGTGGTTGAGGCTCCAGTGAGCCAGAATCATGCCACTGCATTCTAGACTGAGCAACAGAGCAAGATCTGATGGCAAAACAAAAAACAAGCAAGGATAACACTTTTTATATATGCATGTTGTAAGAATTTACTGCTAGAACATTTATGTATCAAATAATTAGACCTCTTATTTTATCCACAATTTCATGAAAGTGTAGCGAGTCAGCCAGGTGCAGTTGCTCATGCCAGTAAGCCTAGCACTTTGGGAAGCCGAGGTGGGTGGATTACCTGAGGTCAGGAGTTCAAGACCAGCCTGGCCAACATGGCAAAACCGCATCTCTACTAAAAATACAAAAATTAGCCAGGCATGGTGGCAGGCACCTATAATCCCAGCTACTTGGTAGGCTGAGGCAGGAGAATCGCTTGAACCTAGGGGGCGGAGGTTACAGTGAGCCAAGATCATGCCACTTCACTCCAGCCTGGGCAAAAGAGCGTAACTCCATCTCAAAAAAAAAAAAGAAAGAAAGAAAAATAAAACAAGTTTAGCAAGTCATTTCCTGCATTTCCTTCTATCAAGAAAAACTGATTTTTCATAGTTCTAATTAATGCCTATGTGAGATACTACCATCCACCCTAAACTTTTAAAAAGAAAAAAAAAAAATCAGCAAGATATTTAAAACCAAAAATATAAAATACAAGTCCACTACAATTTTTTTTTTTTTTTTTTTTTTTTTTTTTTT